AAAGTACTCGGGTTCAGGGGTTGTGGTAAGGTTTAGGGAACCACCGGCAGTGAGTCCCCAAATCCGAAAGCCGAAAGCCCAAACCCCAAACCCCAAACCCCAAACCCCAAACCCTAAACGCTAAACCCTCAACCCTAAACCCTAAACCCTAAACCCTAAACCCTAAACCCTAAACTCTAAACCCTAAACCCTAAACCCTAAACCCTAAACCCGGTATGCAGAGTTGAGGCTAGTAGCTTTCAGACCCGAACATGACTCGCCCTCGACGACAAAAAGAATCATCCAAGTCCGCCGGGCGCACGGACATCCGGCCGCGACGCCTGGACCGCGCTCTGGTAACCCTAAACCCTAAACCCTAAATCCCAAACCCTAAACCCTAAACCCCAAACCCTAAACCCTAAACCCTAAGGCCCTTCAATCCCTCAAACCTCAAGCCTTAAACCTCAAGAAGCCTCAACTGCCTTGAGCTTGTGGGGGTTTGCGACCCCAATATGGACCGCCCCGAAATAGTAGGATTCCTAAACCCTAAACCCTAAACCCTAAACCCTAAACCCTAAACCCTAAACCCTAAACCCTAAACCCTAAACCCTAAACCCTAAACCCTAATCCCGGAAAGCCCCCCTTGTAGAACTTCGGGCGGGGCTCTAGGGCAGAGAGTGCATCGTTCAAGGCCTTCAGTCCCTAAGTGCTTAGGGATTTGGGATTTGATTGGGTTGTTGGGCGTTTAGGGTTAATTAAGGGTTTAGGGGACACATCATAAACTCTTACCGAACCTCTCATGTTCACTTGTGTCTGCTCTGTGCCTACTGGCGTCTTAGATCCTTAGCCTTGTTGGGGGGTTTAACGGGCTTGGAATAAGGTAGCTAAAAGTTACATCTTAGCAAGGTTCGAAAGTGCAGCAAGTTGCAAAGGCAGAGAATATTGGAGATTGAAGTATATTGGATCTTAACGCCTGGTGTATTACACTGTGAGAAACGTCTAGTCCTGTTAACTGGTTCATGGGGTTTAGGGTTTAAGGTTTCGGGCTTAGGATTTAGGGCTTATAGGGTTTAGGATTCAGGGTTTCGGGTTTAGGCCCAGGGTGCAAGGGTGAAGGGACTAATGTTGCACCAGCAGTCGCAGGACTTCCTCTGCCAAGCTGCCAACCGTTTCGCTGAGCGGTTTTTGGTGGAGAACCCGCCCGCTGGCTCGGAAGGGAAAGCCAGGGCGTCGGATTTGGGGTTGCAACTCTACACCCGAATCCCAGGCGGTGAATTCTGGGTTTTTTTTGGGCGGAGGGGGCGGGGGGGGGGGGGGGGGGGGGGGCGTGCACACCAGAACTGAACCCCGAACCTCAACAAGGTTCACGGAACCCGTGCAGCATCTCTCAACCGGTTGCAGACTACCCTGTAGACCTTTGACCCATAGACCCCCGAAAGCTTGAAGGTTCATGGGTAGTCATAAGTAGGGTAAAAAGTACCCTAAATATGGATATAACCAGTTATAGTTCTAGTTACCCTTAAGTAGAACCTTACTTAGAACTACCCATGAACCTCCGAGTACGGATTGAAGGCTGTCGGAAATCGGCCTCCTCATCCTGCGGAATGGCCAGTGCGAGGTACCGGAGGGTGGCGATGGCCAAGTTCCGGGTCAGGGCTGGGGGTTTAGGGAGGAGCCCTTGGGGCTTTTGGAATCTAGGGGTTAGGGTTTAGGGTTTAGGGTTTAGGGTTTAGGGTTTAGGGTTTATGGCCTAGGGCTTAGTGTTTTTTTTTTTTTTGGGAGGGGGGGGAGCTTAGGGTCCTTGGGGAGTTGGAAGTCTGGGGCAGCTCAATGCCTACCATTGCCCTCGGCGCTCTTATAGCTCCGACACCTCACATGGGGGACGAGGGTTTACGGTGTAGGGTTTAGGGCTTCAGGACTTCTTGTGGCATTCGTGGGCGGCGCTCGACACGTCTGGATAGCTTGAACTGTCTGGTGCTCCACGCACTCAAGCTCTAAACAGCAGACCCTGTGTCCAATTTAAAAACCCTCAACCCTAAACCCTATCTGAAGTACTTCACTCGAGAAGCAAAAAACGGAAGTTGTGCCGTGAGCTGCACATCCGAGCCCTGTAAGCCCTATAGACCCTAAGCCCGATAAACCCTAAAGCCTATGGACCCTATAAACCTATAAACCCCAAACCCTACGCCCTAAGCCCTATAAACCCTAAGCCCTATAAACCCTAAGCCCCAAACCCTATAAACCCGAAACCCTATACCCAAACCCCCAAACCCTAAACCCTATGCAACCTTATAAATCCTAAACACCCTCGGCCAGGCCTTGGCGCCCATCGGCACAGCGCCGGCCGCGTTTCGCAGCTGCCTCGCGACTGCGGCCGCCGAGGTGTCCGGGCTTAGGGTTTATAGGGTTTAGGGTTTTTAGGTTTTTAGGGTTTAGGGTTTAGGGTTTAGGGTTTAGGGTTTAGGGATGGTACTTAGGGGGCTCCCAGAGTCTTTCTCGGGGTTCGGGGGTGTTCGGGAGTTTAGGCTTTTGTGGGATGAGGTACCCAGAGCCCACAAGCAGCGGGTTTAGGGTTTAGGGAAATCTTCTAAGAGTGGGAAACCTCCGTAGGGTTTATGAGGCACATAGCGTCTAGTGCTTAGACTGCTACTTGCTTAAAAACCCACCCCCAACAAATACAGGAAAACTATTTTGCTTCGAACATCCTCACCCAGTCGGCAAGGAATTTGTGGGGGGGGGGGGGGGAGGGGTTGGGCACGCCTCGTAGGACGCCTCGTAGGGGATATTCTGGAGGGACGCTCCGGGGTTGGGCACTCCAGGGACTCTATGTGGATACTCTTGGGGCTGGGCACTCCAGGTATTCTTCGGAGATACTCTTGGGGCTGGGACTGGAGTCTCTGGAAATACTCTGGGGTGGGACACGGGCGATGGGCGAGGAGTAGACCAGGCGAGGAGAAAAGTTAGTTTAAAATCTAACAACCCCACACCGAGGGTGAAGGATCTTAGGCCCTAAGCCCCTAAGCCCTAAACCCAAAACCCTAAACCCTAAACCCGAAACCCTGCGCCCTAAGCCCTAAACCCCCCTCCACAAAAGGCCTCCACCACCCTCGACTCTAAACCCGAACTTAACTTCAAGCTTCTAAACCCTACACCCGGAACCTCACACCCGAATAAGCCCCAATCCCTAAAGCCTAAACCCTAAACCCAAAACCCTAAACTCGAAACCCGAAACCCTAAACCCTGACCCTAAACCCTAAACCCTACGCCCAAGAAGCAGGGCCCTGCTGGCCGCACTGCGGCTGTCGCGGCGCTGCAGCGGGCGGCGGAAGGTGCTCCGGCTGTTTTCGTACTGAGGGGGGGGGTGGGGGTTGTTGCGGGTTTAGGGTTTAGGGGTTAGGCGGTTATGGTTCAGGGTTTTAGGATGAGGGGTCTGGGGTTTAGGGTTTAGGGGTTTAGGGTTTAGGGTTTAGGGTTTAGGGTTTAGGGGGTTAGGCGGTTGGGGTTTAGGTGTTTAGGATTAGGGGTCTGGGGTCTGGGGTCTGGGGTTTTGGGTTTCGGGTGTAGGGTTTCGGGGTTTAGGGTGTAGGGGTTTAGGGGTTTAGGGGTTTAGGGGCTTAGGGAGGGTTTAGGATTTAGGGTTCAGGGGTTAAAGGTTAGGCGTTAAGGGATTAGGGTTCAGGGGTTAAGGGTTAGGGTATAGGGGTTTGGGGTTTGGGACTTGGGGTGAGTGGTTTGGGGTTGAGGGTCTTGGTGTTTTGGGTGGCCTTTGCCCGGCTTAGAAGTTATGATCTCGGGTGTGCAGCCTCATGCTTTCAGTAGTTGAGAGGGTTTAGGGTTTATGTAGGGTTTAGAGTTTATGTAGGTTCATATATGGTCTGCCGATTAGGGTTTCGGGTAGAGGGGCAGAGGGGTTGCCGCCTCAGCAGTTGCGGGCTGGGAGATGGTGTTGGATGATGGCGTCCTTTGCACATCTCTCCTCGATCCTATCCTTCACAGCTCATGTCACGGCAAACCACTAAACCTTAGCCCGAAAGCCCACCAAAGGGCCCTAAACTAAACCCTAAACCCTAAACCCTAAACCCTAAACCCTAAACCCTAAACCCTAAACCCTAAACCCTAAACCCTAAACCCTAAACCCTAAACCCTAAACCCCAAACCCCAAACCCTAAACCCTAAACCCGACGTCAACGCCCCAAGTCAGCCAGGGCTCGGCGTGGCCCCACCCCACGGCTCAAGGGAGCTCCTGGCCGGGACTCCTAGAGCTCTTGGGGACTTTAGGGCTTTTGGTGTTTAGGGTTTAGGGTTTAGGGTTTAGGGTTTAGGGTTCAGGGTTCAGGGTTTAGGGTTTTGGATTTAGGGTTTAGGTTTTCGGATTTATACAGGGGTTTAGGGTTCAGGGCCTTGATGCTTCAAGGTTTGTTCGCTTGCGGATAAGGGTGAGAAGGCTTTGGGGTTGAGGGTGTCGGATTGGGAGCTTCTTTTTCCTAAACACCCTAAACCCTAAATCCCCAAATCCAAACCCCAAACCCCAAACCCTAAACCCCTAAAACCCTAAATCCCTAAACCCCTAAATCCCTAAAGCCCTAAACCCTAAATCCCTAAATCCCTAAAGCCCTAAACCCCCAAACCCTAAACCCTAAACCCTAAACCCTAAATTCCGATTCCAAGATTGCTCACCCAAACCGGTCTAGGTTTTTGGGTTTAGGGGTTTAGGGGTTTAGGGGTTTAGGGGTTTAGGGGTTTAGGGGTTTAGGGGTTTAGGGGTTTAGGGGTTTAGGGGTGTAGGGGTGTAGGGGTTTAGGGGTTTAGGGTTTTAAGGTTTAGGGTTTAGGGCTCTCGGCCGGGACCCTAAACTCTAAAAGCCCTTAAACACCCTAAAGCCCGAAGCCCCTCCCCCTCTCCCTAAGGAGCTTCTCCCCATGCAGATCTCGGTAGGGTTTAGGGTTTCGGGTTTAGGGTTTAGGGTTACTGTAGGCTCTCCCTGGGGCCTCTCTTGTTCCGCCCTTTCCGGTGGCCCCGAGATGCTCTTCAGCTCTGTGTCGACCTGCAGCCTGCAAGATCTGAGCATGGAGGAGCGGCGTAGAGTGTTTTTTTTTTTTTTTTGGGGGGGGGGGGGGGGGGGTTGGGGGGGGTTTAGGCGGGTTTAGGGGGGTTTAGGGGGTTCTAGGGTTTAGGGTTTAGGGTTTAGGGTTTAGGGTGCAACTTGCTTTTTCCCACTTGTTGTTTTGCAGGTATCTTATCTTTGTTCTTAGGCTCTACTGTCTGGTCTAGGGTTCAGGAACCCCTCAAAACCATAAACCCTAAACCCTAAACCCTAAACCCTAAACCCTAAACCCTAAACCCTAAACCCCAAACCCCAAACCCCAAACCCCCGGTTTGGGGCTCAGGCCCCTAAGGCAAGGGCCCATGATTTCGTGCGGCTTATGTACGAAGAGGACGTGGGCCAGACCTTGCGGGAACGGAAGATTCAGGCTCAACCAGCTTGTTGTTACCCCCCTGCGCGAGTGGTTATATAGGGCATCAGGACATAATTTGCACATGTCTCGAAGATGTAGTCCCTTTCTCGCTCCCTGCCATATTTATGAGTCCTCCCAAGAAGCACCTGCAAAGTTCAGAGGGTTGCCCCACACGGCTGGAACACACAATTCCCCTCCTCCCTTTACCACCTCTTGAGTTGCAACCCTCAAGCTCCAAAACCCTCAAACCCTCAAACCCTGAATGCTGCAGTCCTAAAGACAGTGTATAGACCGTTTAAGCCCCAAGAATGTCGACGGAGGCAGGCCCCAATCCAGGCTTTTTTGTTCAGGATATGGAGGGTTCAGGATTTTAGGTGTTCGTCGCTTAGGGCTTACAGCTGTAGAAGCTCTCAGCCCTTGCCAGGTCTCTGTGGTTTCTCTCAGCCCGGAGATTTACGTGCTCAAACGCCTCTGCGCGGGCTCCTCAGACTTAGGGGTTCGGGTTTAGGGCTTAATGTCCCTGAGTCCCAAACAAAGCATTAGGCGAAGATGGGCGGTAACCCCCTAAGCGCGCCGCCTCTTGGTAGAAATTTCCCGAAGCCCTTACTACATTCTAAATAGTTCTTAAGCACTAATTGGATGCGGCTTGGAAGTTGTAAGGGTTTGGGGTTTGGGGTTTCGGGTTTCGGGTGTAGAGTGAATTCAGGGGTCCCGGCCGCGTTTAGGGTTTGCAGGGGGGCTTAGGGTTTTTGGAGTTCGGTCTTTGGGTTCTGGGATGTAGGATGTCGGTTTGGTACTACGGCAAAAAAGGTAAGCTTTCGCGGAATTGGGCAAACCCTGCTTGGGTTTCCAGGCACTTTTGGGTTTCGGGATTTGTAGACAGAGCTCTGCCCGACCTGCGCGGGTTAAACTTGTGGGGTTGCTCTACCATGGTATGACCGCCGCTGCTATGGTAGATGAGTCCAGACAATTTGGTGCACAGATACACTTCCCGGCCTGAACTGATACACCTTCCGGCCTGAACTGGTACGCTTCCCGGTGTCAACTGACACGCATTCCGGCCTGAACTGACACGATTCCCGGTGTCAACTGAGACACATTCCGGCCTGAACCGATACGCTTCCCGGTGTCAACTGACACACGTTCCGGCCTGAACTGAGACGGCCCGACACGCGTCTCACAGAGGCCCCGAGACGCGTCTCAGAGAGGTCCCGCGACGCGTCTCAGAGAGGCCTCGAGACGTGTCTCAGAAGGGGCGTCTCAGAGAGGCGTCTCAGCTGCCCACATTGGTGTCTCAGTTTCCGGGCCGGGGCGTCTCAGAAGGCGTCTCAGAGGCCCTGAGACGTGTTGCGGGGCCTCTCTGAGACGCGTCGCGGGGCCTCTCTGAGACGCGTCGCAGGGCCTCTCTGAGACGCCTTGAGTGTATCAGAGCGTGTCTCAGTTCGAGCTGGAAGTGTTTCAGTTTGAGCCCTGGAGTGTATCAGAGCGTGTTTCAGTTCGAGCTAGAAGTGTCTCAGATTCAGCGCCTTAAGTGTATCAGAGTGTATCAGAATGTGTCTCAGTTTGCCCCCCCCAAGCGTATCAGATTGAGCTTGTCTGCCTCCAAGCCAGGACTCATTCCCCATAGCAAAGCATGGTAGGGCGACCCTCTAAGGTTAAACTAAGGCTCTCTCTCTCTCGCTCGCTCTCTCTCTCTCTCGCTCCCTCCTCTCCTCTTCCTCTCTCGAGTATATCCCTGCTCGAAAGCGCACCAGCAAGGCCAGTAGCTCTGCCCCCCATGCCGACGATGTATATGCCCGGGCCCCAAGGCTCTGAATCCAAAACGACCCTGCCAAAAGCGGATTCGTTTTCGGCCGCCGGTCTTAATCAGACCCTCTGAATAGCTACCAGCTATCCCGAAACCCAAATGCCGAACTTCAAAGCCCAAGTCCTACTAAGCCCTAAACTCTTAACTCTCAGACCCGAAGCTCTAAAGCCCCCAAACCCTAAATCCTAGACCCTAAACCCTAAACCCCCTCACCCCAAAGCCGAGGTTGACACCTTCGGCCGCTTTGAAGTTGCCTTGAACTCCAAGCATTTCGAGGCAGGGTGCCTTAGGGTCGGAGAGTTTAGGGTTGAGGGTTTAGGGTTTATTCGGGTTTGAGAATTCTGGGCTTAGGCTTATAGGCTTCTGGCTCTTAACTATGGTTCCTTTCTGGGACACCAAACTATCACTGTAAGATGCGCAAAGCAACTGGCGATCGGGTGCTTGCAGGAGGTCTCTCCTTTCTGGCATCACTTTGTGCGTGCAGTGTACGCGGGGCGTGGGCAAGCAGTGCCGAACCAATCAAGCCTGGATTGATGATGCTTCGCAGCGCACGGTGTCTGAAGACACGGAGGCACTGTTTAGGGTTCTCAAAGTGCAACAGCCTCGCTGACTGGCACATGGACTTTTCAAATAGTCACGCGCAACGAAAATTCGAAGACTCCGAAGTCTACGCGGGGAGCTCAGAACATCCCCAAGTCTGCGGACCCGTGAACGCGCCGGGCATGAACTGAACAAATCCCCGCAGAACAATGCTAAAACCTAGACCCGCCCTAGACCCCAAACCCTAAACCTTAAACCCTAAACCCTGAACCCTGAACCCTAAACCCTAAACCCTAAACCCTAAACCCTAAACCCTAAACCCTAAACCCTAAACCCTGAACCCTAAACCCTAAACCCTACCACAAGTCCTCGACCGACTCGAAGTTACCCGTAAACCCCCAAACTCCCGTACGGCCACCCCCAGAGGGGTTTCGTGAAATTGACCAGGCGCTTTAGGGTTTAGGGTTTCGGGTCTAGGGTGTCTTGAAATTGAGATCAGGCGTCTTCAGTATTCAGGTTGCCGCCACGGCCATGACATTACAACTTAAGCCCTTTGATACTATAACCCTTGAAGACCAGCTTCTTCGCATCCTCAGACGAAGAACTCCTTCTGGGTTTAGGGTTTAGGGTACATCCACACATGGAGCGTTTCCGAAATTAGGGGTACCTTATAGGGGTCCTCTATAAGGGAATCTTACTAATTTCGTAAACCGGTTTTCCGCCTCCCCCCCCCGCGTCCCCACCCCGCCCCTCCCCCCCCCCTCCCGGACCCAACCCCCAACCCCCAACCCCCAACCCCCAACCCCCAACCCCCAACTCCCAACCCCCAACCCCCAACCCCCAACCCCCAACCCTAAACCCTAAACCCTAAACCCTAAACCCTAAACCTCTAAAGAAGAAGTCAAGAAGGAGCTCCTCAGTTCCCACCTGGCTGCGCCGGTCTCCGTCGCCAGACAGCTGGCGCCCAAACTCGTTCGCCCGAGCCTGAGATGGCGCAGTTTAGGGTTTAGGGTTTAGGGTTTAGGGTCTAGGGTTCAGGGTTTAGGGTTTAGGGTTTAGGGTTTAGGGTTTAGGGTTTAGTTTAGGGTGTAGGGTTTGGGGTTTGGGGTTTAGGGTTTAGGGTTTAGGGTTTAGGGTTTAGGTGGCTCGTGAGTATTTACAAGCAGGGTTTGGGTGTTGACTTGAAGAGGCCCTCCACAATCGGGCCATGGCTGATCCTCGCATTTCCCGAAGCTTTCGAGCCTAGTCCTGCATCCTTACCTTAGATTTTGCGCCATCTTCCAGGGGTTTAGGGTTTAGAGTTCAGAGTGTAGGGTTTAGGGTTTAGAGTGTAGGGTCCCCAAGCCCTAAACCCTAAACCCTAAACCGATCAGGATCACGGCAGCGTTGAATATTATGGGTTTCGGCCTCAGGGTTCACGGGGTCGGGGTTCCCGAACCCTAAACTTTAGCTCTACACCCCTCAGGCCCTTTTCTTTGGTTTCTGTCTTAGGTTTAGGGATTAGGGCTTAGGGCTTAGGGCTTAGGGCTTAGGGCTTAGGGCTTAGGGTTTAGGGTTTAGCCCATGCGCCCCTATGCCCCTCGACTTGTTTTGAAGATCCCGAAGGTTACTGCCCTCGGCCGCTGAATTGCAGCTTTTTAGGGCGTACCGAACATCTGTTCCTTTATGTCTTCTTGGCAACCCAGTGGTACCCTTTTCCCTTTGTTTGCTTCAAGGTGCCCTTATAAAGTAACCAAACCAAAAAAAGTGCCCTTATTGCAATATGGTTACAGGGCTACCAAGTCTTTGAACATTCAGTTGCAGTAGTCTGCGAATGCTACAAAGCCTCGAGACAAGATGCCCTGAGCTGCCCCGCAGTGTACCCAGAGCCACCGTTCTAATCTTACTGTTGGTTAGTAGGGGATGAGGGAAAGAGGTACCCTATATCCCTATATGCACCCTTTAAGGGATTATATAGGGTATCTCATTCCCCCATTCCCCACTAACCAACAGTAAGTAATTCTTACTTTCCGATACTTTCAGCCAATTTCTTGGGGGCGCCACGAGAACAACTGCGTCCCCCAACCCTACATCACCCCGGGCCAGGAAAGGAAGTGGGACACAAGAAGGGTCGCCCTAAAGAAACAATAAACCCGCAATCCTAAACCCGAAGCCCTAAACCCTAAAACCCGAAACCCGAAGCCCTAAGCCCTAAACCCTAAACCCGAAACCAAACCCGAAACCCTAAGCCCTAAACCCGAAACCCGAAACCCTAAACCCTAAACCCTCAACCCTAGGCGTGAACTCGGTGCCTCAGTCCCGCAACGGTTGAGGTATGGGTTTTCCGAAGCTGCTGCAGCCAGAGGCCTATGAAGTGTTGAGGGCTAGAAGGGGTTTAGGGTCTAAGTGATGAGGGTTTGAGGCTTTATCGGGTTTAGAAGGACTCCTCACCTCCGGCATACAGGGTCTAGGCGTTTAGGGTTTAGGGTTTAGGGTTTAGGCTTTAGGGTTTAGGCTTTAGGGTTTAGGGGGTAGGGCGTTGAGGGTTTAGGGTTCACTTGGGGTTGAAGGGCTTAGGGAGTTGGATCCGGGATGTGCAAGAGCTCGCGAGACATCCGAAGGCCTGAGCGTGTGTCGGATCAAGAGGTTAAGGCTCCTCTCCCCAAGGTTGTGCCCCTAAAGGTTTCCGTGATATGCCCCTAACGTGGTCCTTTTACTCCCTCAGAGGATCTTTGCCCTAAACCCTAAACCCTAAACCCTAAACCCTAATCCCATCTGTGAGCGTCCTGATATTCTTTCAGAGGATCCTTGCAAAGGTCCCCAAACCCAGGAGTACAACCTTAGGGGTCCAAGGTAGCATCCCATGAGTCGGAGGATACTTGGAGGTTCATGGTATTTATTAGCCAATTATAACGGTACTTATAGCGGTATGTATATATATATATATATCCATATTAGGACACTTAAGGGGCTTATATGTGGGTTGTAAGTACCCCTAAACCCTAAACCCTATGTCCTAAACCCTGAACCCTAAACCCTAAACCCAAACCCTAAACCCTAAACCCTAAACCCTAAACGCTAAACCCTAAACCCTAAACCCTAAGCCCTCAACCCTAAACCCTAAACCCTAAACCCTAAACCCAAACCCTTCCTCCTAAACCCTAAACCCTAAACCCTAAACCCTAAACCCTAAACCCTAAACCCTAAACCTTAAACCCTAAACCCTAAACCCTAAACCCTAAACCCTAAACCCTAAACCCTAAACCCTAAACCCTAAATAAGTAGAATGAACCTCCAAGTAGTGATCACCTGTGAGCCTCCGAAGCTGACGTCTTGACAGATGGAACTCCTGGGTGGCTCGGAACATCTACGTCCCAAACTCATGCGTTTAGGGTTTAGGGTTTAGGGTTTAGGGTTTAGGGTTTAGGGTTTAGGGTTTAGGGTTTAGGGTTTAGGGTTTAGGGTTTAGGGTTTGGGGTGTAGGGTGTAGGGTTTAGGGTTTAGGGTTTAGGGTTGGTCCCTAAACCCTAAACCCCTAAACTCAAAACCCAGTGTCGCTTCCCAAGTTGCGCCGGGGCATGCCTGAAGCACTGTGCTTTGGTCCTGCACGTCCTGCAATTTTCGGGTTGAGGGTTTAGGGTTTAGAGTTGGCTGCGATTGTAAACTTTTTCCTAGCTCCTGTTGCGCTTGGAGTTTACGCATAACTTGAAACCCTAAACCCTAAACCCTAAACCCTAAACCCTGAACCCTAAACCCTAAACCCTAAACCCTAAACCCCAAACCCTGACCCTAAACCCTAAGCCCTAAACCCGACACCCTACCATGTCAAGGCCCTTCTCTTTGTCTCAGTTGCCTTGGAATTTGGAGTACGACGCTTGAATACATTTTCTTGGTTCTGGGTTCCCACGATAGCTACTCTATACCTAAACCCTAAACCCTAAACCCTGAACCCTAAACCCTAAACCCTAAACCCTAAACCCTAAACCCTAAGCTCCAAAGTAGGGTTCCTATTATAGCATATTACAGCTACTCTATACCTAAACCCTCAACCCTAAACCTAAACTCCAAAGTAGGGTTGCGTCAGGCAAAGAGGCAGCTGGAGACCTGTTCTTCGCTCAGCTTCGGCATGCGCAGCGGATCAATCTCCGCTTAGGGTTTAGGGTTTAGTGTTTAGGGTTTAGGGTTTAGGGTTTAGGGGTTAGGGGTTTAGGGTTTAGGGTTTAGGGTCTAGGGTCTAGGCTCTAGGGTCTAGGGTCTAGGGTTTAGGGTTTGGGGGAAAGTAGGGTTTAGGTTTTAGGGTGTAGGGTTTAGGGTTTAGGGTTTAGGGTTTAGGGGACCCCTTGAGGTCAGGGTTTCTAAACCTTTGGGGTTGGCGGTTAGGGTGAGGGTTTAGAGGGCTTAGGCGCTTACGCACCTTGCTCAGGATTCTAGTTGGCCCTACTAAGCACCCATGAACCTTCAAGCACTGGTCATGTCGCCGGAAAGCTATTGCACCCTTTTTTTTTGAGGAATCAACTGGAATTCGCCTGCAGAACCCAAATCATTTAACAACAGCACTGAAAGAAACCACTCAGAAGACAATTTCTAAGTAAGCTGGCCCCCCTAGAGCTTGCAGCCTTGGAAACCTTAAACCCTAAACCCTAAACTGCCCTAAACCCTCAACCCTACGGGTGGGTCCCGGTGTAGGGTTTAGGGTCGAGGGTCATGTGCGCCTGAACCATAAAGCCTAAACCAAGGAAGGCAAACCCTGAAGCGCCAGACCCTCAAATGCCCCGAACATCCTAGCCGCTTAACCACCATGCTCGCCCTGAGCCCTGCACTGCTACACCCTCAACCCTAAACCCTAAGCCCTAAGCCCTAAGCCCTAAACCCTAAACCCTAAACAAGCCCAAGCCCAAGCCCAAGCCCAAGCCCAAGCCCAAGCCCAAGCCCAAGCCCAAGCCCAAGCCCAAGCCCAAGCCCAAGCCCAAGCCCAAGCCCAAGCCCAAGCCCAAGCCCAAGCCCAAGCCCAAGCCCAAGCCCAAGCCCAAGCCCAAGCCCAAGCCAGTGTTCAAGCATGCATCGCCTCCCAAGGCTGAAGAATCACCTCCCAAGACCAAAGCTTCGCCCCAAACCCGCAGGCTTGAACCAGCCTGAAACTGTGAACCTTAAACCCTAACCCCAAATCCCTAAACCCGAAACCCTAAACGCTAAACCCTAAACCCTAAACCCTGAACGCTAAACCCTATAAAGCCTTAAACCATTATCCATAAGGGTTTAGAGTCGAGGGCTTAACATCTAGTCCTTCGGGCGTAGGGGGTCCCAATGTAAGCAATCCACCCAAAAACTCAAGTTGTCACCCTAAATCCTAGAACCCTTACCCCTAAACCCTAAACCCCAAACCCTAAACCCTAAACCCTAAACCCTAAGCCCTAAGCACCCGGACCGGACCCCCAATGGATTGAGAGCCCTCACTCACTTGCCCCAAACCTTAGAGCCTGACTTCTCCCTTTTTATAGGGTTTAGGGCTTGGGGTTTAGGGTTTAGGATAAGCACTTTGCAAGCTTAGGCACCTGTCACTTCGAAGTGCACGGAACCCTGTATGTCTGTGGCTTGCCGAGCATTGAAGCCAGCGGTTCTTTCCATCCAACGGCTCGTGCCTTGTGGGGGGGGGGGGGGGTCTAAACCCTAAACCCTAAACCCTAAACCCTAAACCCTAAACCCTAAACCCCAAAACCCTAAACCATCAACCCCTAAACCCTAGGAGTACCCTAGGCCCTAAGCCCTGCGAACATGATGGTGGCTCTGGGTTTGGGCCTTCTTGGCTTGCAGGGTTCAGGGTCTTGCTCGGTTAGGTTTTCGCCTTTTACGGGGTTTAGGCTTGTAGGGCTGGCGATAGGGGTCTTAGGGTTTAGCTTGTTGGGGTTTAAAACTTGAAAGAAAGAAAGACAGAAAGGAAGGAAGGAAGGAAAGGAAGGAAGGAAGGAAAGGAAGGAAGTAAGGAAAGAAAGAAAGAAAGAAATGAATAAATAAAGAAAGAAATCAATAAAGAAAGAAGGAAAGCAGAAAGCAAAGAAATACAAGAAAGAAAAGAAAGAAAGAAGGGAGAGAGTCGCACACCGACCCAGTCTTGCGCACAAGGGCGCGCCCAGTGCACGGAGTGCTTCTTTGCCCCTCAAGGACGTCAGACGAAGAAGAAGCAGGAGAACCAGAAGAAGAAGAAGAAAAAGAAGAATAAGAAGAAGAAGAATAATAAGAAGAGGAATAAGAAGAATAATAAGAAGATGAATAAGAAGAAGAAGAAGAAGAAGAAGAGGAAGAAGAAGAAGAGAGAGAGGCTGGTCGTCAGGGCCGAAAACTGAAGTCTTTGAGGCTGCGCGGTATAGGGTTAAGTGTTTGGGTTCAGGGCGGACTCTTCAGATTTGCGCCGTGGTGAAAAGAAGCCACTAGTCCCTTCCCCCTAATATCCAACCCCCCCCCGCCCCCCACCCCCTGCCCTAATATTAGATACCCTCCTGTATAGTTAAATTTAGGTGTGAGGGGGTGGGGGGGTTTAATTCTGGCGCAATGTGTTGTGCCCAGAGGCAGCAACGCTGTAACTACCAGTGTTTTGGGGCATTTTCAGAACAGGCATGAATGCTTGTGACATCACGTCTCGTGCCAGATACGTCAAGCATCCTTGAGGCAGCAACTACCTAAACCCTAAACCCTAAACCCTAAACCCTAAACCCTAAACCCTAAACCCTAAACCCTAAACCCTAAACCCTAACATGGTCGCCGTCCCCTCCCCGCGCCCACCCAGCCTGCGAAATCCTCCGACATCACCGAAGACAACCGCAAAGTACGTGCCTGCAAGTTCCCCCCAAGCCCGAAGACCTAAACCCTGAACCCCGTGTACCCCCTTAAACCCTAAACCCTAAACCCTAAACCCTAAACCCTAAACCCTAAACCCTAAACCCTAAACCTTGAACCTTAAATCGAGATCTAGGCTTTCCCCAAGATACAACAAGAGGCTAGTATAGGCCTGGAGCAGAACGCCCCGAGAAGCCTTGAACCGCAGAAGCTCACTCCAACCCTCAACCCTCAACCCTGAGCCCTAAACCCGAAAGCCCTTAAATCCACACCTTAAACACCGAAAATCTCCTCAGCCCCAAACCCTGAACCCTGAAAATTCTGCAAGCGCGAACGCCTGGAGTCCCAAACCCCCAACGTGTCAGTCGCCAGCCCTTAAAACCCCGGACTCCCAAATCCACAAACCCTCACTTCTAGTCTCCTATATCGACATAGTCTAGACTCCCGAACCCCAAAACAAACCCTAAACGCACCCGCAAAGCCCTAAACGCCGAAACTCACAAAATCCATGCACACCTAAGCCCCAAACCGCGGACCTCCACCGAACCCTACACGCCAAGCCCCAAACCTCGAACCTTAATCCCCCGAAACCCTCAAACCCTATATACGGACATCCCGGAACCTCGAACCTGCATCCCTAAACCCTAAACCCTAAGCTCTAAACCCTAAGCCCTAAACCCTAAGCCCTAAACCCTAAACCCTAAACCCTAAGCCCTAAACCCTAAACCCTAAACCCCAAGCCCCAAACCCTAAACCTCAAACCCCCAGACACCAACAACCCGAGATCATCATACCCACCTCAGTTCCATCTCAGGCCCCCGCTGCTCCGCGCGGAGCTGTGGGCTGTGCTGTCCTCGGTTAGTCCTCGGTTAGGTGAAAACCCTAAACCCGAAACTACCCTAAACTACCCTCGGCGACCCTAAACGACCCTAAACTACCCTAAACTCGCCTCAACTACCCCTGGGCCCTGATCTGCCCCAAGCCCCAAACGACCCCAAGCCCTAGAGGCTTGGGGGTTGGACTGGATGCACGGGCTTTTTCCGGTCCAGGGTTCTGGGATGTTTTTTCTGGGGGGGGGGGGGGGGGGTCCCCAAATCCTATATCCTAAACCCTAAACCCTAAACCCTAAACCCTAAACCCTAAACCCGTGTGGAGTTGGGCATACTGCGGTTCTCATCTGCAGGAGTGGCCATGGGCTTACGAGACAAGTCCTGCAAGTACATGGGGACTATATAAGGTCGAGTCAACGCCCTCATGACGGCCATAGACAGAAGTGTCAGGATGTCCACCGTTGAAATCCCGGACCCTAAACTCCTGACCTGCCTTCGGCTATGTAGGGCTGCGCACCCTACTCCCTGTATGGCCCTTTTATTCTACAGAAATGTATTGTTGCATGTCCCCAAGTCCACCCTTCTTTTCCTCTCGAAAACCCAGTGGGGCGTGCAACCCTACATAGCCGAAAGCTTCATGTGTTAGCGGCCATTTTGACCTGCCCCGGCTCCGCACAATCCACTCTCCCCCTACCAAAAAATCAAGCACGAACAAGGGTACGCGAAGCATATTCAGTGTCTATACGTACACATGCATGTTTTCCATATTAATAGAAAACATACATGTGTACGCATAGGGGTCCTCAAGACTTAGTCGGCGCAGCCCTTGTTTGGTCTTCAGGGTTTTTTGGAGGGGGGCGGGCTTGGCGCCAGGGAAGAAGGGCTCAGAGTCCCTAAACTCTAAACCCTAAACCCTAAACCCCTCTTTCTTATATATATTTAAACCCTATAGTCCTTCGTGGCTAAGGGTCATTTCTTCGTGGCTAAGGGTCATTTCTTCGTGGCTAAGGGTCATTTCTTCGTGGCTAAGGGTCATTTCTTCGTGGCTAAGGGTTATTTCTTCGTGGCTAAGGGTAATTTCTTCGCTAAGGGTAATTTCTTCGTCGCTAAGGGCAATTTCTTGGTCGCTAAGGGCCATTTCTTCGTGGCTAAGGGTAATTTCTTCGTGGCTAAGGGTAATTTCCTTCGTGGCTAAGGGTAATTTCCTTCGTGGCTAAGGGTAATTTCTTCGTGGCTAAGGGTAATTTCTTCGTGGATAAGGGTAATTTCTTCGTGGCTAAGGGTAATTTCTTCGTGGCTAAGGTTAATTTCTTCGTGGCTAAGGGTAATTTCTTCGTGGCTAAGGGTAATTTCTTCGTGGCTAAGGGTAATTTCTTCGTGGCTAAGGGTAATTTCTTCGTGGCTAAGGGTAATTTCTTCGTGGCTAAGGGTAATTTCTTCGTGGCTAAAGATAATTTCTTCGTGGCTTCGTGGCTAAGGGTAATTTCTTCGTGGCTAAGGGCAAATTCTTCGTGCCATCCCACCCCCACCCTCCCCCCCCCCCCACACCCCCCCCCCCCCCCCCCCCACCCCCCCCCACCCACCCCCACCCCCCCCCACCCCCCCACCCCCCCCCACCCTCCCCGGGTATTTCTTCGTGGCGAGGGGAATTTGCTTCGTGCCGAACCCCCCCACCCCCCCCTCCCCCCCCGCCACCCCCCCACCCCCCCCACCCACCCCCACCCCCCCCCACCCCCCCAACCCCCCCCCCACCCCCCACCCACCCCCCCCCCCACCCCCCACCCCCCCCCCCCCCCCCCCCCCCCCCCCCCCCCCACCCAGCCCACCCCCCACCCCCTTCCCCCCCCCCCCCCCCCCCACCCCCCCCCAAACCAAAACCGACGGTTTCAGGATTTCTTGTCCCGCCCCTCCATTGGGGGCCGATGAAATGGTTCGTGGGTAGGATGGTCCATGACGGAGTGAGCTTGGAGGACAGGGCTTGCTGATAAGAAATGTAAACTTTTTATTTTCTTAATGTTTTGGGATTCTCTGGGTGGGTGGGTTTTTTTCCGTTGCCTACACACACTGCTGGCCTAGTAAATGCTCGAACTTGAGATGCTGAACCCTAAACCCTAAATCCTAAACCCTAAACCCTAAACCCTAAACTCGAGGCCGAGTCGCTGCAAAGTTTGCGACCTTCCCCTGGTGTCGGCCAGCGTGCTCGCCAGGGCCTTCAGGACAGGGTGGGCTTCGGGGTTTAGGGTTTAGGGTTTAGGGTTTAGGGTTTAGGGTTTGGGGTTTAGGGTTTAGGATTTAGGATGTCAGCCTTTGAATCCTGATCTTGAATCCCCAAACAAACCCTCAACCCTCAACTCCAAACCCCACACCCCCAACACCTCCAACCGTCGACACCATTGGGCACCAGGAGTGTGGTACCGCTACCCGCCTTTCCGCAAGGTGGGCTTGAGCCGGCCCCAATGCAAGAGTCAAAGCCGTTACCAATAAGACGGGAGCTTCCGCAAAATAAGGGTACCTGTTTTTTTTTTTGGGGGGGGGTGTTCGATGGTAAGGGTTAGAGTACTTTGCGGCATCTTAGGGGCGCCCCTACTTTGAAAAATGCCAACGTTGCCCCCCTAAATAATGAGCTGCCCAAAATGCACTTTCTTATTAAGCAAGCCCCTTCATTTCCCCGTACGATCTTCTCATTCAACGACGGTCAACAAGCCTTTTGGATTTCTGGCTTATGGTTTGCTGCCTAGCCTAGAACACGAGTCTGAGCCTCATGCCCCAGCCAAGGCAAAGCTGAAAAGACAACGCCATGCCTGTCGATGTCTGTTGTAGATGATCTCTAGCTCTAGTTCCGAAATTTTCAGTAACCCTAAACCCTCAACCCTAAACCTTAAACCTTAAACCTTCATGACATGCACGGCGCTACTCCACGCAATACACAGACTTTACAAAGGTCACCGACGTGCGGAAGAGGAGCCATGATTTCGATGCCATGTGCCAGCGAGACGAACGAAGACTTGCCAAGGCCCAGCAGCGCCGCAAGCGGAAGAGAGACCAGCGATGTGCTTCCAGTTCGAGCTCCACTTCTGTCTCCAGCTCCAGTTCGTAAGATTCGTAAGCTTTTGTGCCTGCCCGTGGAAAACGGTGGCCAGTCCGCTGCCAAGGGTATTCTGGATAAGGGTTTATAGGATTTAGGGTATAAGCTATGGTTTCCTCTAGACGATACCTTGCCTTCGTAACCTAGGCATTTCCTTGGATAAACGATACCTACTACCAAAAACGATACCCTCGCACGCATGTCCGCTTTTGGTCCTTCGAATATTGCCGCACGCTCATGTGGCGAGACCCTCGAAGCAGATGTGCGAGTGAGATGTCGACTCAGAATCCCTACTCACCCTAACCCCTAACTAAACCTCAAGCCCTAAACCCCAAACCCCTTAACCCGGTGAGAAGCCCCCAAGCCGTAACCCTGCTGTGGAACGAGATTTTGGCAGAGCAGCAAAGGGATGGAGATGCTGGCTGTGAACCCTAAGCCCTAAGCCCTAAGCCCTAAGCCCTAAGCCCTAAACCCTAAACCCTAAACCCTAAACCCTAAACCCTAAACCCTAAACCCTAGCCCTAAACCCTAAACCCTACACCCTAAGAATTTATAAGGATTGTGCATGTGGGGGGGGCGGGGGGTCCAGTAGCCCCCAGGCCCTAACCCTTTCCCGGCCGAGTGGTAATGCAGCCTAAACCCTAAAGCCTAAACGCTAAACCCTAAACCCAAAACCCAAAACCCTAAACCCTACAGGGTTTAGGGCATTTCACCATGTGTCCGATGTCCGATGGCAGGTGCGCCGACGCCTTCCTGCGGAGGGTGCCTGCTACCTATCCACGACTCAGGCGCAAGAAAGCTGGGAGATCATGAGAGTCTTAAGTTTTTGGGGTTTTAGGGTTTTAGGGTTTTAGGGTTTTAGGGTTTTAGGGTTTTAGGGTTTTAGGGTTTTAGGGGTTTTAGGGGTTTAGGGTTTTAGGGTTTTAGGGTTTTAGGCTTCTAGGGTTTTAGGGTTTAAGGGTTTTAGCGTTCAGGGTTTGGGTTTATAGGTCTTAGGGGTTTATCCTCAATGCGACCGGCTTCGTGGTGGTAACTGGAGGTAGAAACGCGCCTTGCGATCCCTAGGTGGCTTCACTTCTAGGTTCTTGGAGCGAGTTCGTCGGCTTCTGCAACGCTTGGGTTTTGGGTTTAGGGTTTAGGGTTTAGGGTTAAGGGTTTAGGGTTTAGGGTTGAGGGTTGAGGGTTTAGGGTTTAGGACTAAAGCGCGTTCTGCCATGGGTTAGCAGCGTGTTCGAGTCACGCTCATGTGGCATGGAGTGCTTGTGGCACTCGACGACATGTTGCGCTCGCAGTGCCTTTGGCATGCCACGACGTATCATGTCTGAGTAGGGGCGCGCGGTTGTCACAACTCTGAAGCATGCCAGGTCAAAAGTACCCATGAGCCTGCAACAGGTAGCCTCATACTCCCAGGGTTCACAAGGTTTACAGGTTTTAGGGGATTTGTCGGGCCTTCGTAGGGACACAGGGCCGAGAGAGTTTATAGGGTTAACCCCTGTTCAAAGACCCGCACCCAAACCCTAAACCCATAAGCCCTTCGGCAGGGCGCCAGTGCACCAGCTGCCAGACAGTCTTCTGCCAGGCGGGTTCCAAAGCCCTCGGCCCAGGGTTTTGTGGTGGTTCAGGCTCTTGGGGCTTATGGGACCCGACAGGGCTTCTTATTCTGGAAACCCTAAACCCTAAACCCTAAATCTCAAGCCCTAAACCTCAAACCCTAAACCTCCAACCCTAAACCCTAAAGCCGAAACCCTAAACCCTAGGCTCATGGGTTCTAGGGCTTCGTTTTCTGGAGGCCTGGGCTTGAAGGCTTGAGCACGTTGGTGGTGCAGCTAACAAGACTGGGGAGCCCAGTAGTATCCTTTTGGCCCCCTCCCTTTTGGTGGCTTTTAGGCTCCTGTTTAATGTAATCCCTAGTTAACCTAAATCCTAAACCCAAAATCCCAAAGGGGCACGCTTATTGTAATACGGTTACATGCGGTTACTGGCTTGGTAGGCTTTTCTGTGGCCCTTTTTGTGTGCTTCTGGGCTCCCTTCTGACGCAACCTTTAGTTGTTTTCGGGCTCGCCCTCGTAAGTGGTGTGCATGTCATTCGAGGGAGCCGCCCAGTGGGGACAGATGCACATGCTTAAGGGCACTAGCATCTGAATGCAGCAACTTCATTGCAACCTTTATGAAACCCTAAAGCCAAAAAGGGTGCCCATGTTATAACATGGTTACTGGGCCACCAAGAAGAAGCCACCTATGGTTTTTTCTGTGCTGGTCTTGCCATTCTGGGCAGTGCCCATGTTTTTTGTGACGTGTGATCTTCGAGATGGGGCCTTGGGGTGAGGGGGTCCCCTATGTAGAATTTAGGGTTTAGGGTTTAGGGGTTAGGGACACAACCGTGGGAGGTCTTGTGTTGTCCCGTGCCTAGGCAGATGTTGTGCGTGGGTCGCATATCCCGCAGCCGCAGGCATGTGATGACTTTCTGCATACCACGCTTCGACAGTGTCCCAGCCTCAGTGGGTGAGAGCAAAGCGCTGCTCAGAGCGGCCAAATGCTGTCTTAAACCTCAAAGGATTACGCTTTACAGATGTGTATGGTATATAATATATATATATATATGTATATATATATATGAGCAATATACAAATGCACAAGCTCTCTCACACACACAGACAGGAAAGCCATGGTTCAAGTCGGTTTCTGGGGCAGACTTTCTGTCAGCCAATGCTGCGCTCCGTGAGCGTCCCACCCGACTTCGAAGGTAGGAAGGGTGTGGGTATGGGATAGCTGACTGTTGCTCAGTACTTGTAGGGAATGTTTCGCATGTTTTGGAGTCCTAACTCAACCCAAACCCAAAGCCCCCTAAACCCTAAACCCTAAACCCTAAACCCTAAACCCTAAACCCTAAACCCTAAACCCTAAGATCCTAAGGCCCTGGCTGCCTCGTTCATGGCCGTGCGCGGAAACGCAGCCTCGACGCGAGCGATGAAAGGATTCGAGTGCAGGGCTGAGGGCACGTCACTTTTTTAGGAATACGGATTTTGAGTTTAGGGTTTAGGGTTTAGGGTTCAGGGTTCAGGGTTCAGGGTTTAGGGTTTAGGGTTTAGGGTTTAGGGTTTAATTAGGATGGTTTAGGCCCGAGGAATACACCGCTTAACGTGTAGGAATGATGCGGCTGAGCCATGGCGTTTAGGACTGCGTTCGGGTATTAGGGCTCAAGTCTGGATGTTTGGAAGTACCTACGCTTTAGCCGCTTCTTCTGTCAAACTACCTTTAGATCTGCGGGCGTCCTGAGCCCGCGGTTTAGGGTTGGGATTCAGAGTTGGGTCTTAGCGTTAGGATTTAGGGTTTCGGGTTTAGGATTTGCAGTTTAGGGTAAGCCCAGACCGCAACACGCGAACCCCTCCCTACACCCTAAACCCCAGGCACAGCTTCAAGCCTCAAGCCTCATAAGCAAACCCTAAACCCTAGACCCTAAGTCCTATGGACCCCATAACCTTTGCTGTTAAACCCGGTGAACCGTTTTGATAAACAATCCAATTTCACAAGCTTCCGAGCAAAACCCTAAACCCTGAACTTTGAACCCTAAACCTCAAACCCTAAACCCTAAACCCCAAACCCTAAACCCCAAACCCCAAACCCTAAACCCTAAACCCTATACCCTCACTCTGCGGCTGTTCGGCTCGAGCGAGAGCCTTCAAAGCCGCCCCAGTCCTGCGGCTACCTGCCAGGAAAGGAGGGGGTAATTTAGGGTCTCAACCCTAAACCCTAAACCTTAAAAGCTAAACACTAAAACGTAAGCCCCAAACCCTAAACCCTAAACCTTAAGCCCTAAACCTTAAACCCTAAACCCTAAGCCCTAAGCCCTAAACCCTCAACCCCAAGAGCTTAGGGTTTAGGGGCCCTGAGAGACCCAGACCACGGATGGCCTCTATTCGGGTTTTGGGGATTTAGGGTTTTGCCAGTTTAGGGTGTACTATCATTGTTATTGGGTGTCGGAATAATTACTGATGGTATTCCCTTAGGGTCCCTTCATAATTCTTCTACAATGACCCCCCAAAACCCTATTCTAATTAATTATTCAGACCCCTATATTAGGGTTTCAATTTAGGGTTTAGGGTTTTAGGGTTTAGGGTTTTAGGGTTGAGCCTCAAACGGAGGGGATGACATGGGGAAGCGGAGTCGACAACTTTGGGAGCTTATGGTAGGCGGACCCCTTCCACCTAAAGAAACGTTCATTAGGCCACTGTGGATACGTATCTACACAGGGGTCATTAAGTCCTCAATTTCGTTGTGCGTTTTTGTGGGTGTTAAGATCTCAACTCGGAATATTGCTCCGTGGGTTTACAGCGCCGCCCAAGAACACTGCTCCGAACTGAAGGAAGTCTTCAGGTCAGTGCGCTTGAGGGCTTGGGGGTTTAAGAGTTGCGGAGTGTAGGGGTGTAGCCCTGGGCCAAGAAATATCCTGCTACATCTACTTGAGGCTGCTAAAACAGCCGAAGTATCATGAACCCCTGAAACAGATCATGCAGCCTTGGCCAAACAAGTGTATAAGAATGTGTAATGTATATATATATATATGTATATGTATATACACACACATAAAGCCAGCCCCACTCAGGCAAACTATGGCGCCTGCTGCCGGCGCAGGAGGTGGGAGGTGGTAAAGCCATATTGCTGGGGTTGATGTAGATGTCCGGCCCACAAGGTCTATCGCAGTCTGCTCCAGGAATCGCCCAGGAGTCATTGCTTTAAATTTTGTGATGTGCTTTGGAGATTAGTAGGCCTGAAGGGTCTGTGGAGCTTCCATTTCAAGGGTTTGAGGATTGGTGAGGACTCTGTTGCCAGCATGTGACAACGGTGTACCATAGCTGCCCTGGAGCCCAAAAGCAGAGCGTGGGTTTAGGGTCTAGGGTTTAGGGTTTAGGGTTTAGGGTTCAGGAGGGTTCAGGGTTTAGGGTTTAGGGTTTGGGGTTTAGGGTGTCGGTGTAGGGTTTAGAGTACTTTTAGGGTTTAGTGCTTAGACAGTTGAGAATGCAAGTTGCATGTCAGCGTTTAGCCCAACTTTTCGCTGGTGCTGGACTTGCACACTTCTCCCAGCTCTGTTCTGAGCCCACCACGCAAACCCTCAAACGCCTGAGCCCCAATCTTTAAGCCGCTACGGAAGCATATATAGCCCCCCCCCCCCCCCCCGAAGCTCTCTAAACCTCAAGTCCTGAATGCCATAGACCTTCCCTGGCAAGGTGGAGGCAATGCACCCAGCTTGAAAGGTGCTTGGCGAAGGGTTCTGAAGGTTGAGGTTTTGCCTAGTAGTAGAGTAGCTAACTTTTAACCTTCTTGGGGTGGTATAATCCCCTTATAACCTTTAATTCCCCCAGGTTGCTGGACAAATAGGTTTGGAGCATCCCATGAGGTAGGTTGCACCCCCAAAGGGGTTTTGGGGCAGAGGGTTTTCAGATGATGTTCCCAAGTCCTAGTCTCTTCACAATCCGGACGCCTAAACACACAACGAAATCAAGTTTCATGGGGCCACCACACCCTACCCACCCAGCCCAGGGTCTGCGGTTTAGGGTTTGGGGCTCAGAACCTGACAGGCTCCTGTAGTTTAGGAGTGTAGATCATAGAAGTGTAGAAGCCTAGCTGGTTTGCGCTTGATGCCTGCGGATTGCGCCTGAGATATGGGTTTGGGGTTTTGGCTTTAAGGGGTCACCCAGAGGGTATGGCTTCGATCTGTGAAGCACTGTGCATGGAAACATTCTTCATTTTGCAGTTCCCAAGTTTGGAGAGCTTGATGTCACCTGCAAGCAAGGTAACCCCAAACCCAGAGCAACCTCAAGTTGTCACGGTTCAAGTGGCTTCGTGAGGGTCACGAGATTCGGCACCCCACGCCGCATACAACCTAAACTCTACACCTCCAAGCTACGCCGAATCGTATACCCTAAAGCCTAAACCCAGGGAAATGGAGAATGTTCATCAGTTTTGGACATGCTTTCGCTTCTTTTTTTATTCTTTGCAGCGCAGGCTTACTCTGGGAAACTCAAAACCCACAGGAAACCCTAAACCCTAAACCCTAAACCCTAAACCCTAAACCCTAAACCCTAAACCCTAAACCCTAAACCCTAAACCCTAAACCCTAAACCCTAAACCCTAAACCCTAAACCCTAAACCCTAAACCCTACATCACAAGGATCCTTCTGCCCCCTCCTCGCGCCAGGCTACTCCTTCAGTCCGAAGGCGTACGCCAAGGCCCGGTCTTCCCCAGACGACCCGCAACAAACACTACTTGGGCCCTAAAGCATGTTTAGGGTTTAGGGTTTAGGGTTTAGGGTTTAGGGTTTAGGTTTAGGGTTTAGGGTTCAGGGTTCAGGGTTTAGGGTTCAGGGTTCAGGGTTTAGGGTTTAGGGCCCCCTTTTCAACTCTCAGCCCGCAAAATGAGAGCTTAAACCCTACACCCTAAACCCTAGCAAAATGAAATCTTAAGCTATCTGGCCCAGGGCACTGGCACCTCTCTACTCTTGCTTTAAGAACCCCTCAAAAAGCACAGGGCCATATGCGATTGTCTTTCAGGGTTTTGGGTCCAGGTTCAGGGTTCCTAAGCAGATCGTAGCTATAATGTCAAAAGCCCAGTGGAGGTTTCAAGGCCTTCAGGCTTGTTGTTTCCTGTTTTACTGGTTTGGGGTTTAAAGTTTCAGGGTTCGGGGTTTAGGAGGGTTTAGATAAGGGTTTAAGGTTTAGGGCTTAGGGTGTGGGGTTTAGGGTATAGGGATGTTTAGGGGTTAAGGGTTGAGGGGGGGAGCTCAGGCTCAGGGAGCTTTCGGGGGTTTCTGGATTTAGGGGGGTTAGGGGGTTTTTGGGCTTCCTTGGTGCCCTACAGAGACCGGGATACAGGCGCGTAGAAAATGAGAAAAGCACATGTGTACATATAGATTTATATAAGCAAATAGATAAACTGATTTAACTAAATAAACATATATATACATATTTATTTATTTAATTATACAAAACGATACATGAGTACATGCATATGGAGTACTACTACAAAATAATCTCTTTCCTCCGGAAAGTCACACGAACATAGTCTGGATCAGCCGCCTACCCCAGCGTGGAAGACCCTAAAGCCCTAAACCCGAAATCTCAAAACTCTGACCCCCCTGACCCCTATAAACCCCAAAATCCCTAAACCCTAAACCCCTAAACCCTAAACCCCTAAACCCTAAACCCCAAACCCTAGACCCCAAACCCCCCCTCAGCAGACAGAGGCTGTGCTTCACAGCTGCAAGCACTCGGCCGTGCCTGCCGGAAGCCCATGGCCAACTAAGCCACAGAAATGCCGGTCACGGTTAAGGGTTTAGGGTTTTGGGTTTAGGGTTTAGGGTTTCGGGTTTAGGGTTCAGGGTTTCGGGTTTAGGGTTTAGGGTGTAGGGTTTAGGGTTTAGGGGTTGGGGTTTAGGGGTTGGGGGTTAGCGTTTAGGGCTAATACTCAGTAGTAAACGGAAGTCTTAGTATGAAGCAGACGCAGGACATAACACGAGCTAGTCAACGGCAGTGCTAATGAGCAGATAAGAAAAGCTTAGGCTTGCCGTTTTCTGGTTCTAGGTTCCTTTATGAGGGTAGCAGCCAACAAGGGTACCCCTGTTGCAGTCAGACCCTGGTGCTTTGCTTGAGGCCCTAAACCCTAAACCCTAAACCCTAAACCCTAAACGCTAAACCCTAAACCCTAAACCCTAAACCCTAAACCCTAAACCCTAAACCCTAAACCCTAAACCCTAAACCCTAAACCCTAAACCCTGTGGGTTCGAATCCTTCGGCCAGATGAAAGGAGTAACGAATCCCGGAGCTCAACCCCTGTCCCCTCCCCGGACCCCTTTCCGTCCCTAAACCCTAAGCCTAAACCCTAACCCGTTAAGCCCTACGCCCTAAAGCCTGGCCGTACACCCTAGAAACCCTAGAAACCCCAGAAGTTCTGGAAACCCTAGAAACTAGAAACCCGGAAACTCTAGAAACCCGAGAA